TTCTGGTCTTCTATGCTTTTGGGAAAAATGAGGAACTTCATATCCACATACAAGTATATTACAAGGGTTGAGAATTTAGGATATTGTAGTCCCAATTAATTGAAAAATGAATTGAGGAACTTATAACCCTCAAAACTATAATATGATAGTGCGCTCCACTAAAATCATTTAGAACTTCTGGTTCTATAATTATTACACTTGCTCAATGTTAAACTCCAGGTTTAGCTCATTAAGATGTGAACTTCAGGGTCACATATATTTATACAAAGGTGTAGATTTTTCAACCTTATATTTTATTATACATGAATTGAGATCTTCATACCCTTTTAGATGTATAGGAATTTAGGATCTTCAAGCTTTTTCCTTTAATTGTATAAAATTTAGGGTCTTCAAGCCCTTTATAATTGAGGATCAAGATCTTCGGGTCTTAATTCCTTTATTTTTCCCAACATAATCGTAACAAACATGGAGTGTAACCACTATCATGTTCTCATATAAATGTGAACCATGAATATATAATAAATGGACATAAATTTCTTCTGGCAGTCATAATTTTATTTACTTATACATATATATAGGTATATATACATAAAGTAAAACCGCATATATATATATAATATTGTATTACCATCAACTTTCCATATTAATATTATATGTACCAATATAAAATGGAGCCATGTGAAAGTGAAACCGACCAAAACCACAATTAATATATTAAAATGGTCTACTTGTGGAGGATTGACCATATGCTCCTACTTTTGCACCTACCACACAAGAACAAGTTCCAGCACATCTATACTTGCTTTAGATGTTAGCATGAGTATAGATATGATGGTGATAATAATAAATTGAAGAAGATAAAGTGTAAGTCAGAAGGCTTATCTCTTTGTTTCGTGGGTGTTCATATCCCACTCTGAACGTCAAGAAACTCAACACCTCAGTTGGTTTCTTTTGGTGAAGACCGGTCCTTGTTTTGGATTTGTGTCTCTTAGAATGACCTTCAATTTTCTTCTCTGGATGGTTTGTTTTCTGTAAACATAGTATGCTACCAAATGGAGTTTGTATTTACACACAAGGAAATCATGAAAACACACTTGCCCAGAAAAATGAGTAAAGCAAAGGGATTTGATCGGGGCACTCAACTGGATTTTGAAAAAAGAATTCGTGCTGATAACGTGTTATATAACTAAGAGAAAATTGTAGAGAGAATTGGAAAGTAGAGAAAGACAATAGAAATTGTTCAATCAACTTGTATATCTCATCTTGATAAGCCCTCTTATTTATAGGCTTACAATGGTAAGAACACATTAACAACTCATAAGTTACAAGCCCATAATTATGGTATTTAGTGCATAGGTTACATAGAATTAGAAAGGGTGAATGCTAAGAGGTATGGTGGTCATCCACCAACTCATGCATTTACAACATTATTTATTTAGTTTCTTTTGCATATTTGAAGAATGAAGTAGAAGATTTGGTCTAAACCCCAAGCTGCAGTCATCAAAGTTTGATGCGAAGAACAGGATTTGAAAATTAAACTTATTCATAGTCCACAACCTTAGCTCTGAATTACCACCAACCACCCATCAGACCATGTTTGGCAACAAAGCACAAGACGAAACACAACTTATAAGCAAAGCAAAGAAGAAGAAGAAGAACCGTTGAGATGGTGATGGACAGGCTAGGAAGAATATTACATGATGGATGCACAACAATGATATGATATTCGAGACAGGGTTGGTTTCAAAATTGTTTGATGAACTATTGGCCATATTTGGTGACTAGGATTGGATTGAATTAGGAGGTAGGATTGCACTGTATTGGAAATGATAAATATAATTCATTAGCACTAGCTGTAACAACCCGATCCTTAATTAATTTTTTAACTATTATTTTATTCAAAGAAAAGACTAGAATACCCTTGGAATATTTTTAGATGATTTTAAAGTTGACTTTTTGACCGAAAAGGAATTTGGGGATTTCAGTTATATCGTTGCATAGCACGCAGCGATATGAGTTTGTAGACACGTAGTGGGCTCAAATTCGAGTTGTAACGTAGGAGGAAATGTCTAGAAACAAAATGGACGTTTTGGGAATTTCATATTTGTTACTGTAGCAATAGTGCCGTTACAGTAATAGGGTGCTACAGTACCCGGGTCTTATTTATCTTCTTCCTCCTTCTCTCGCAGACAGCACTTCTCTCACCCATGTTACTATTCACCTGCCTAGTTTTAGGGCCACCACGGCCACGTCCGACCACCAAATCCGGCTGGACCGGTACCAAAACGTCAAGCCCGACGCTCTCTTCCTATCCCACCAGTCGCCGGAAAATGGATGAAACAGCCCAGTTTTTGTCAAAACTTCCCACCGTTCGTTCTCCTTTCTCCGGCTGCCAAATTGGACGAATAAGGTATGGATTTCTACCTATTTTCCGTGCTCTAGCTGATGGTTGGGTAGGAATCGAGTAATTTCTAAGTTTGATACGTTGATTATCGAGTTAGGGTTTGGCCAGTTTTGGGAGCACAGTTCCGGCCACTTCCGGCCAGTTTTTGGGGTATGTCCAAGAACAAAAGTAGTTTCAATTAGGATGTTACACCTAGGGTAGGAGTTTTGAGCCGTGATTTGGAGATTTTTCCGGCGAAGCGTTATTGCTTTAAACACCACGCGCCTAAAATAATCCCTTAGTCCTCACGATATATATATATATATATATATATATACAGTTCCTTTCTATTTAAGGATCCCTCAAATAAAATTATTTGAGGGACACACTTTAGGGTACCCTACGAATTTATTTTCAACGATCCAAACCATTTATTTTTTAAGTATATATTCATAGATCATTCTTACAAAAAATTTGACAAATTGAAAACTGTTTTGACATCCAATTGTGTCCTACAAAATCAATGAACACGGTGCTTCAAGAAAGTACTAAAATTTCAA